GAGAACCGGACCGCGGCCAATCCGGTCCGGTTAAGGGTCACGGTTTTTTTTTTTCCCCGGCGGGCCGGGCCGGGCCAATTTTTTTTGCTTTTTCTAAAGGCTGTACCGGCCCGTGAACCGGCGGTTCGGGCCGGTTCTATGAACCGGCCCTTCGTTCCTAGCGGGCCGGTCACGGTTCGGCTGTTTGAGGGCCCGTGGCTCGACGGGCTGGGCCGGGCTGAGCCCGAACCCGGCACCTGGCCACGTCTATTTGCCACTTTTGGCTGAGGAGTACATATGTAATAAATGCAATTTGAGGTTATATATATATAATATATATATATTTCAAATGTAATTAGTTAATTAATAATATAGATTGTGACAGTGGAAAGTGAAAGATGTATGTGTGAAAAGAGGCGTGCAATGCAACCTCGTTGACGTGAAAAAAGAGTCAGAGGAGAGAGCAAGGATTTGAAATCGCAAATCTCACTCAACTTTTTTTTTCCCCTTTATTGAGCTTTTTATGCATATTTTTTATTTTTTATTTTTTGGTGCATATGCATATTTTTTATTAATTGCATATAATGTCCCTTCTTTATTATATCTTCATTTTATTTATTATTTGCTTTCTTGGAAAATGACGAACTTGTCAAATAATATAAATCAAAATATGAAGATATAAATATGCGTCTTTATTCACATAATATAAGTATATAACTAAATTGCCCATATAAGTAGTCTCATATCTTGGATAAATTTAATAATGTTTACTTCTTTAATGTATTCAAAACTTTAACAACTATTCAACAAAGTTTGAGGTATCAGATGATGAAATCAAACATAATATTCCAAACATTGAGTCGAGAGCTTCGAAATGATATACGATCACTGGTAGCGAGACGACGAGCAACATGACACGACGGGTGGTGGGAAGATGGTCAAATCTCCAACCCAAATACACTTTTAATTTTGTATACCCTATTTTTTAATTTTTATTTATATGCTTGGGCTTGAAATTAAATATATAATTTATTTTTTTATGAATTAAAATAAATAATAATTTAAAATAAGAACATAAATATGAATTTCACATATATGAGATCTATGAGACAATGTACAACACAATCAACATATTTTATTTTTTTTCCTATTACATTCAATGTATAAGATTGAAGTTTTGATAAATTTAATGATGAAATGAAGGATATATATACATATTGTTATGTATACAGAAGGGTTTGTGGACCATCTGATTCTAGAATATCTCTTCTTACATAATCACCAATTAACTGTCTCATGCAAGAATTTATGTTTATTCTATTACTTCACAAGTCAGAACAACTTAACATCAATGATTATAGATTAATTAAGTTGTTTTCATATATTACATGTAACTAGTGTTATAAACGAATAGAACTGAACCGAGCTTGGGCTGTTCGAACCGTGTTCGTATTCATTCATTTATTTTTCCAGCAAAAAATCGTGTTCGATTCGAACGTTCGTTTAATTGTTCGTCAAAGTTCGAGTTTGTTCGTGTTTGAATAATTTAATACATAAACTTTTTGTATATGTTTGATTAACTCGAAAATAAAAGAATAAAATAAAATACTTTTATATTTTATATTTTCTATTAAAAATATTATGTAAAATATATAAAAATTAAATAAAATTATATTAAATTTTAGATTTTTCATAAAATATTATGTGAATATGGAAAAATAAATAAAATAAAATTATATTAAATTATATAATCAAACGTTCACGAACGAGCTTGTGTTCGTTCGTTTATTAAACGAGCCTAATTTTATGTTCGAATTCAACTCGATTAACAAACGAACGAGCTTTTGTCGAACACGAACGAGCTTTTGTTCGTGAACGTTCGGTTCGTTTACAGTCTCTTACATGTAACTTATAAATTGCACTTGGATATATATTAGAAAAGATGGCTAGTGTTTAGATAGAATATTATTTAGTAAACTTTGAATAAACAAAGAGTGGGAGAAGAACAAAGACCAAGAAACACACACACCATACGAGGTGAATTGAAGAAGCCATGTTGTTGTCCTGAGTTCAGTATACTCATTATTAATTTTACATAATTACTTCATATATTTATTGCTGTCCAATAATGTCACTTCACTTCAATTTATTTATTTATTTATTTATTTTTATTTTTTTTTTCTTTTCGTGTTTAGGTTTATAGTCCGTGCCGTTTAAGGGTGTCTCCAATGGTTAGCTATTTGGCTAGCTATTATGACGTGGACAAGGAAAAAGTAAGAGAGAGAGTAGTCACTAGCTACTAACAAATAGCTTATCTATTTCACGTAGCCCAAGATCATGTGAGAGGAGTATGTGGGTCCAATAGTGTAAAATAGTCATTTTTCTTATCTCTCACATCCACGTCAGCTGACTATATAGCTAGTAATAGCTATTACCATTGGAGATGCCCTAAGCTGTGTGTGTGACTGTCATAAATGCATTATTTGAATAATTAACATTTTAATTGTTTTTTTTTCTTTTAAATGAAACGGGTCACTCGTGAGCTCGACTTGTTATTACGACTCGAGTTTTAGCATGACTAGTTTGATAAACTATCTGAATTCGCTAAGATTCGTGAATGAAAGTTTTCTTTGTACGTAATTTTTGAAAATCTTAGCTTCGCTCGGATAATTAAAGTTCGAGTTTTGCTCATGATTAATATCGATAAACGAATCGCACTTATTTACAACCTAAAAATAATAATGAAAATGCAGATTGTGAAGTAATTCAAAATCTCAAAAGTGCCATCCCCGTATTATATCTTTTCCTATATATTGATTCAGAACGTGTTGAGCTTAAATGGCAAATTTTCACGTTTCGAATGTTGATATGACGAAAATCTATGCACCGTGATGTTGTTTTATATTATTTTTACTCTGAAGTTAAGTTTGGTATTAGACATAAATAACTTTTATCATATATTTCTTAACCCAACGCTCGTATTGTACACGGTTATTGTACTATAATTTGGATGTTACTAAACACCGCCTCGATTTTCTTGATTTCATGGCTGTGACAAGTCAATGTGCGTGCAAAAGTCTTATATAATCAAGATGTTTATTAATGAGAATATTATAAAGAAAGTTCTTTTTTTCTTTTACAGTAAACTCATGTCTATCTTAACCTTGAATAAAAATACATATATATCTTTAAATAAATGTTATACTTCCAAAAAGAAAAATTCAATTAACTCCCTTATTCGCGAGCAGGTGCGGCATCCTATTCGCTCTGCATGCATGATTTATTGGCAACCGCCGGATCTGGGTTGGGTCAAAGTGAATTCTAATGTGACTTTCAATCGCACATCGGGGACGTGTAGTGCGGGTAGTTTGGTTCGAAAAGCCATTGGCAATTGAGTTGAGGGTTTTTTTTTATGAATATTGGCATAGGCACCATTACCGGGGCCGAGTTATGGG